GGGAGAAGCATTCTGAAAGTAGACTCTGGACCGAACAGAGGGGAATGCTTAGCCTTTATAGTACTATAACTGTGTAAGCTATATAGCAAATGATTTACCTTTTTTGGTACCACCCCTGGTGAAGCTCAGGGGTTACTCCTGACTCTGCACCCAGGAATTATTCCTGGTGGTGCTTGGGGGCCATTTGGGATGCCGGGGATTGAACCTGGGTTGGCCACATGCAAGGCAAGCATCCTCCCTGCTAGTAGCACTCAAGCCCCTGTTTAATTTCCTTACTTGCACAAATCCTTGGGTTTGCTTTAGAGTGAGTAACGAGCTTGTTCCTTTTGAATCAGCTCTAGACTACTTCAACTTTCTAAAGCTCCTCTTGTGAAATTCGGACACAGTAGATGCTTCACATATTTGAAGAATTCTAAGTGGTTGTCTTCTGTCCGATATGAAATTTTCATCATAGCCTCACTGTCAGCCAGGATTTCTTTCCCTTTCCTCACATACTGGGTTTCCCTTGTCATGGATCCCACGTGTTGTTCTGTCTTGTTCTTGGAGAATGCCTCTTCTCATGGATTCCTTGAAAAGGACATGTCTAGAAGTATCTTTACTCACACCATCATCCGTGCTTGGAGGACGGCATACCGTCACTGTTGGCAATAGATTTCTTTTCAGAAGATGGATGGCTTGCGTCAGTGGACCCTGCTGCCCAGGGTTTGTTTGAAAGTCTGCAACTCTTTGGACTTCATACACATTGTGTGTGGCCTGCTGTCCTATCCCATCCCTGATTGAAATTGTTCCTTTTCTACCACCTCTAGCATATTGAAATTTTGTGATGATGAACCATCTACAGGTATGTTTTCTCCTGCATGCTCAGTGACTTCTTTAATTTAGAGGCTCATTCTTCCCTTCTGGAGAATTTTCCTTACGTATTTGATCCCCTGCCCACACTTCGACCTTCACGATTTTATCACTTTCTTTTTGTGGATCTTTGAATCACTGTATCACTGTCATCCCACTGTTCATCGATTTGCTCGAGCGGGTGCCAGTAATGTCTCCATTCATCCCAGCCCTGAGATTTTTGCACCTTCTTCTTACTCGTCCTTCCCAACGGTGCCGTATTGGAGGCTCTTTCAGGGTCAGGGGAATGAGTCCTGTTATTGTTACTGTTTTTGGCATATCAAATATGCCACGGGGAGCTTGCCAGGCTCTGCCGTGCGTGCGGGATACTCTCGGTAGCTTGCCAGTCTCTCTGAGAGGATCTTTAAATATAACTCTAATTTTGGATTTGCTCGAGCGGGCCCAGTAACGTCTCCATTGGAGACTTTGTTGTTACTGTGTCTGGCGTATCCAATACTCTCGGTAGCTTGCCGGGCTCTCCGAGAGGGGCAGAGGAATCGAACTCGGGTCAGCCATGTTGGCCGCTTGTAAGGCGAACGCCCTACCCACTGTGCTATCGCTCCACCCTAATTTTGGAAAGGTCTTTTTTTTTTTTTTTTGCAGAGGTGACGGGATCACATCTGGCTGTGCTCAGGAATTACTCCTGGCTCTGTGCCCAGAGGACACACCTGGTGGAGTTTGGGGGACCATATGGGGTACCGAGGCTTGAACCCTGATCCACCTCTGGCAACACAAGCTTCTTACCTATTATACTATTTGTCTGGCCATCTAGAAGATTTTTTTTCAGGTTATTTTTGAATCTTCTAAGCTTTCTCTTTCTGTTAGCATGTGTTTAATTTCTGAGTTCTCTTCTTTTTTTTGGGGGGGGGGTGTTCTTTTTACAATAGTATCCCATGTTTCCATCCATGCAGATAGCATCTATTTTTCTCTTAATGTCTTTATTATTTCTTAAAATTCTGCTAAAAACTGTATCCCCCCACTCCCACCTCATCTTTATTTCTCAGTAGACTGTAAGCCCTGTGAAGGGAGAGTTTTTCCTGGTTTTCACAGACATTTTTCCAGTATCTCAAACAGTGCCCGGCACATCGTTGTTCGTGTTGGTTTCAGCCTATTGATTTTGCAGCTAGGCTAGCTTAGTTTTAAGGTTCTTAGGATTATAAGATGCCCTTCAGTAGTAGCCATCATGATACTGAAAAAAATATATAATGATTTTTTTTACTTCAAATACCTCAACAAAGGGAGTCTGGCTGGACAGAGGGCACGGGCTGGTGCTTCTCTAGCCAGTGGCTGACCATGTGTTTGTGTTTGATCTCTTTGATGTGGATACCCCTTTGATATGGATGCTTCTACATCCGGCTTGGCTCTAGCACTTTATTATTAAGAGAAATCAACTCTGGGGATTTCCAATAGAATAATAAGTGATAGCATACTTCTAGACGAAACAGAAGTCTCACTCGGATGATATTAATAAGATATGTTTACACACGTTTCCCCCAAACAAGGACCTCTTGGATACTCTTGGGAATGTAAGTTGCAGCAGCATCTGTGAAAAATGATAGGAAGGCACAGAAATTGAAAAAAAATAAATTAAAAAAGCTGGGGGGTGTGACCCAGTGGCAGAGTACTTGCTTTGCAGTGTGAGTCCTTGGGTCTGATCCCCGGCACTGCAAAAGAACCAAAGCTGAAAACAAAAACTAGAAGTAAAATTGCCTTATAATCAGTACCACTTATAGGTATTTAACAAATAATATGAAAACACTAATTTGAAAATATATGGGCCAGTCTATTTTCATAGCAGCATTATTTATAATATCCAAGATATAAAAATAACCTCTGTGCGGGGCCGGAGCGATAGTACAGCGGGTAGGGCATTTGCCTTGCACACAGCTGACCTGGGTTCTGTCCCCGGCTTTCCATATGGTTCCCCAAGTACCGCCAGAAGAAATTCTGGAGTGCAAAGCCAGGAGTAACCCCTGAGCATCACTGGGTGTGACCCAAAAAGCAAAAAGCAAAAAACTGTCACTGTCCTTCCATTGTTCATTGATTTGCTCGAGCGGGCCCAGCAACGGCTCCATTGTGAGACTTGTTGTTACTGTGTTTGGCATATCGAATACGTCACGGGGAGCTTGCCAGGCTTTGCCGTGCGGGCGAGATACTCTTGGTAGCTTGCCGGGCTTTCTGAGTGGGGCGGAGGAGTCGAACCTGGGCCGACCAGGTCAGCTGCGTGCAAGGCAAATGCCCTACCGCTTTGCTATCACTCCAGCCCAAAAAGCAAAAAGCAAAAAAAGACTTAATAGTAAATAGCACTGTAGCACTGTCCTCCCATTGTTCATCGATTTGCTCGAGCGGGCCCAGTAATGTCTCCATTGTGAGACTTGTTGTTACTGTGTTTGGCATATCGAATACGTCACGGGGAGCTTGCCAGGCTTTGCCATGTGGGCGAGATACTCTCGGCAGCTTGCCGGGTTCTCAGACAGGGGGGAGGAATCGAACTCGAGTTGCCTTGTGGGCCGCTTGCAAGGCAAATGCCCTCCCCGCTGTGCTATCGCTCCAGCCCCAACTATTTATTGATGTAGCTCCTCTTTCTTGTAAACTCGGGAGGTATGTGTATGACTTATTTCCTATCTCAGGGATCACCTTCCTCTGCTTAATTGCAAGGGGAGTGGAAACCTGGTCTCCTTGACTCTGTCTTACCTCAAAACTTAACAAGGTCAACATAGGAAAATGCTTGTCATCAATTAGTGAGGGGTTTGTTTTAATACACACTTTATTTTGAAAGTGTTTTTCTGTTAAAGAGCGCATGGAGTTTTGTTCCTGTTGTTCAAGTAACCAGTAACTTCCAGAGCCAGTCTGTAACCTTGAAAGTCGGGGCCGTAGGCTGGGTAATTCCTGAGGCTTTTGTCATTCTCTGCTGCTCCATGCTTTGATATCAAACGCTGTTGTAGGTCTTGGCACCTCTGGAGTTTTGAGCCACTGATATGTTTCATAAATTTTAATGAAAGATTAAGTGAATTCACTGATGAACCCGCATAGCGGTGCCATATCTGTGCATTATCTCATAGTGGAAGTTTCTGTGAAATGACTGTTGAGTTATATTTGTGGAGAGCCCTGAACTCTATCTTTCTTCTAACTTGTCAGATCCAGCGAGGTCAAAACAAAAGTGATTTGCGAAAAATTCCATGGTCTTGGCACACAGCTCTGATTTATTTTTGAGGAACGGAAAATTGTCCAAATATTAGCACACATATTACAAGATTTGCAAAGAAACTGAAGCATAGATAAAGCACGGTGTGCTTTTTTTTTTTGAAAAAAGGAAGTTTGTAGAGTTTATGGTTTAACTTGCCAGAGTCTGATAATAAACTTATTTCTTGCTTGTGATTATAAGCTCTATTTATAATTCCATCGCAGCTGTTTATTTTCATTGTCGAACTGCAATTCAGACATTCTTGGCTTACCTCATTTTCTCCCTATAGCTCACAAAATTGAAGAGAAAATGAGATCGAAGCTTTCTTTTGAAAGTTCTTCAAATGGGGTCAGGTTGTTGTCGAAACAGATTTAATTATCTCTGACAATGGGGATCAGGGAAAGAAAAGGAAATCTTGATCTCCCACAAATCTGTGAATGTCCTTTAGTTCGGTCACTTTTCGGCCTGCCCTCCTGCTATCCATCAATTCTGTTCCCTGACACAACTGCCGAGTTGCCAGGTTGGGTTTCTGTCTCCCTGCCTTTGTAACCCACTCACTGTGCTAATGAGCAGTTCCAGGGCCAAGAGCAAGGGAGAAATATGGAGGAAGCCAGTGATGCTTGGATTATTTGCCACTAAATAATTCACATCAGAACAGTGAGGGTTTGACTACCTTTCTCCCATGCTGGGTTCCAGTCTTTTCAGATCAAAGGGCGTCTTCACTTTCCCCTTTTACACTGCCATCACCCCAACAGTCGGTGTGATCGCTTGGATTTCGGGTAGAACGGAAAGGGGATTAGACTCTTCGGAATGAAGCCTTCAGGTGCATTTAAACGCTGGGAAGATACTCCCTGCTGCTGGCGTCCTGGGTTAACAAGCTTGAAGAGTACGTGGCTTGGATGCTCTTTAACACTGTCTTTCTTTGCAGCTACTAAGTCCGGATTGTTGCCTCCTCCACCGGCTCTCCCTCCGAGACCTTGTCCATCACAGGTAAGACAAATATTGATTTCTTCAATTGTTTGGCAGTCGGGAAGTTGCCCGAGCTACAGAACTGACAGCTTCGAGTCCCGGGGTGACATCTAGGAGCAGAAAGCACGGTTGCTGCATGTCTTCTCATCCATCCAGGTCTTCTTCTCAACGTGGAAAAGGGCACCTTCCTCCCTAGGCTGCCAAACAAATGTGTTCTCATTCATTCTCGTCCGGAGAGGGTTGCACATAGTTTGCCTACAGAGAAACACCTCTCCAGCTTGGGTGGGGGACGTGGATTTTCTCTGGAGTACGTGGCATGGAAGGCGGGTGCCTACATCTTCATTAATGGGTTAGGAGTTCTGCTAATAATTCTGCATACAGGGGCTGGAGAGATAGCACAGCGGGTAGGGCGTTTGCCTTGCATGTGGCCGACCCGGGTTCGATTCCCAGCATCCCATATGGCCCCCTGAGCACCGCCAGGAGTAACTCCTGAGTACAGAGCCAGGAGTAACCCCTGTGCATCGCTGGGTATGACCCAAAAAAGCAAATAAATAAATAATAATTCTGCATACACTACAAATAGATGGCTGTTAGTGGGACCAGGTGCTGTGGCTTGGGCCCACAGTACCACATTTGGATGGGGTTTTCCCTGGGAACAATCAACAGAACCAGCCGGCGTGGGGGTGTGTGTCTTCTGTAGCCTGTGAACAAATGTCGCCTCATTTACATGTGCTACTATGCTTTTATTCAGCAGCAGGTTTTGAGGAGTGGAAAATGAGAAGAGCGAATGCATTGGGGAGGTCAAGGGTGCCTCCCATCGCATCTTGCCATAATTGTTGCTGGAGAAACTGTCTCTAAAGACTCCTGACTTTTGGCAGAGAGTGTTGGCCACTTTCTCTTGAGGCAGCTGCAGTTTCTACCATTGGAGCACAGAGTTGTTTAATAGTTGTGCACGGCAGGAACTTTCAACATTTGCCTCTCTCCTTCCCTCCCCCTCCTCTCCTCTTCTTTCAAAATTTATTATAGTTGAGGGACCATGGTTGCAAGAGTCTTCGTATTTGTGCTGTTGGTTATAAAGTCAGTCCACCTCTGCCGCCACCCCCCAAAGCGCTACAGCTTCCCCCCGCCCCCCCCCCCCCTGCCCATCTCTCCATCACAGCTCCCTTCTTCCCTGCTCACCCATCATTGCTTCACTGAATCTCAGTTTGGCACTCAAAGTCAAGTTGTTATTATTTGAGTCTGTCCACACCCTTGTTTCGTTTCTTTATATACCTCTTATGAGTAAGATCATCTGGTGTCTGTCCTCCGTCTGACTTATTTTCGTTAACATGATACCCTCTAGTCCCATCTAGGTTGAGCATAAAGCAGGATTTCGGTGTTTCTTATAATCGAAGAGTAGTCCATTGTATCTGTGTACCACAGTTTCTTTATCAACTCATTTGTCATTGGATGTTTGGGTTGTTTCCATGTCCTGGCTATTGCACTCAGCGCTGCAGTGAACATAGGGCTCTGTGTGTGTGTGTGTGTGTGTGTGTGTGTGTGTGAGAGAGAGAGAGAGAGAGAGAGAGAGAGAGAGAGAGAGAGAGAGAGAGAGAGGTTAATGTTTTTGTATTCTTGGGATAGATGCCAAGAAGTAGAATCCTTGGGCCGTATGGAAACCTCATTCTAACATTTTTGGGGAGAATTTTCCGGACTGTTTTCTGTAGAGGCTGCACCAGATGGCATTCCCACCAGCAGTGAAGAAGGTATTTCTTTTAGAGCGTTAGATGGTCTTTAGTGCGCACTCAGCCTTGAGATGCAAATACCATGAGCTATTGGCTTTTTGCTTCAATCTGAAAGGTATTAAAGAGCCCTTTCTTTCTGGCCCATATCTAAACAGATGAGCACCCCTTTCCAACACCACAGCATTGGCTTTAAGATGTATTGGTTCATCAGTCAATGTGTAATTATGCTACATATCTAAGCTTTAGTTTCATCTTCAGCAGGATTTCTTCGGTTATAATTTCTGCTTGTTATTAGCTATGTGTATTGAGTCTCTACAGTAGACTCAGCATTATGCCATTGCGTTCCCCTTTATTATTATTATTATTATTATTATTGTTATTATTGGTCTTGAGCGATAGCACAGCGGTAGGGCGTTTGCCTTGCACGCAGCCGACCTGAGTTCGATTCCTCCGTCCCTCTCGGAGAGCCCAGCAAGCTACCGAGAGTATATCACCTATATGGCAAAGCCTGGCAAGCCCCCCAGGATGTATTCGATATGCCAAAAACAGGAACAATAAGCCTCACAATTTGTTGTGAGACATAACTGGTGCCCCCTCGTGCAAATCGATGAATGAAGGGAGGACAGTGCTACAGTGCTATTGTTATTATTATTTGGTTTGGGGGACACACTCGATGGTACTCAAGGATTACTGCTGGCTCTGTGCTCAGGAATCACTCCTGGTGGGTTCAGGGGCCCATGTGGGATTTGGGGGATTAAACTCGGGTTGGCCACGTGCAAGGCAAGTACTCCACTCCCTGTACTATGGCTCCAGTGCCCCGCCCCCCTCCTGTATTATTTAATATCGAAGAGGCACAAAGCTTTGTCACAGCTGAGGAAGTTGGACTCTGCAGGGGTCAGTGAAAGCCGTCACCCAAGGCCTCTGCTCCCATGGCCATCTCTCCCCATTGCAGTCAGGGGGTGTGTGTAGGAAGGCAGCCGTGCAGGCTTTCACCTCACCCCCCTGAGGAGGACCTAGATGAGCCACGGCTCCTGATTTACATTAGCAGCAAGCCTGGACAGTGTCACACTCAAATTAGTGCTTATCTCCCAGCTGCTGGTTTCAGACTGGGCCTTGGGAGCGCCATGGATGAACGCATGGCAGACCCGTCTGAAAGTGCTTTTGTCACCAAACTCCTTATCTTCCTTGTGCCATGCAAATGACAATAGTGCCTTCAGCCTTGTGAAACCGTTGCTGCTGTTATCTGAAGTCCGCATCTGAGCTGCTGGAAGTGGGCTTCTAGCCTGCATGGGTGCTTAGTGACAAGTATCTTTTTTTTTTTTAATTTTTATTAGTGAAACACTGAGGTACAGTTGTAGACTTACAACTTTTTTGTGCTTGGGTTTCAGTTATACAATGATCGAGTACCCATCCCTCCACCAGTACCTATTCTCCACCACCACTGATCCCAGTATCCCTCCTACCCCCCATCCCCCCATCCCACCCTGCCTCTGTGGCAGGGCACTCCCTTTTGTTCTCTCTCTCCTTTTGGGTGCTGTGGTTTGCAAAAGAGGCATTGGGTGGCAATCATGTTTGGTCTATAGTCTACTTTCAGCATGCACCTTCCATCCTGGGCGGATCTTCCCAACACCCTATATTTGGTGCTCCCTTCTCTATCTGAGATGCCTTTTCCCCTAGAGTGTGCGGCTGGCCTTCAAGCCATGGAGTAAACCTCCTAGTATTTATCTTGGCTATTCGTGGGTGTTAGTCGCCTATTTTGTTACTTTGTTCCCCAGATGAATGCAATCTTCCTATGTCTGTCCCTCTCTTTCTGACTCATTTCACTTAGCATGATACTTTCCATGTAGTACCACTTGTATGTAAATTTCATGATTTCATCTTTCGTCCAGCAGGGCTGGAGCGATAGCACAGAGGTATGGCGTTCGCCTTACAAGCGGCCAACATGGCCAACCCAAGTTCGATTCCTCCGCCCCTCTCGGAGAGCCCGGCAAGCTACCGAGAATATTCGATATGCCAAACACAGTAACAACAAAGTCTCCAGAGGAGACGTTACTGGGCCCGCTCGAGCAAATCGACGATCAACGGGAGGGCCTTTACCTTTACCTTACCTTACGTCTTTTCTAACAGCTATGTAGTACTCCATTGTGTAAATGTACTAAAGTTTCTTTAACCAGTCATCTGTTCTCAGGCACTCAGGTTTTTTCCAGATTCTAGCTATTGTAAACAGTGCTGCAATGAACAAACAAGTGCAGATGAGTGACAAGTATCTGACACAGGGACCGGGAATTTGCAAGTCAGTGTTAAAAGAATGAGAATACTCCTATGTTCAGATTTCCCATCCCAAGGGAAATGGGGCATCCAGCCCTCGTTTTGGCTGGTTCCAGGGACCTCACGTGGAGATTTTTCGACTGCAGGAAGAGGTGTGTGGGAAAAACAGGCCGACCCTATCCATGTCCTTTCCTTCCCTCCACTCTCCTCCTTTTGCTCACAGTAAATGGGACACATATTCAACACGGGACGCTCTGGGTGCCGTGCATGATCGAATGTCATCTTTATGTCCCATCAGGTTCTTTTCTTTTTCTTCTTCTTCTCTTTTGGGTCATACCCAGCGATGCACAGGGCTTACTTCTGGCTCTGCATTCAGATGACTAGTTAAAGAAACTTTGGTACATCTACACAATGGAGTGCTATGTAGCTGTTAGGATGAAGTCATGAAATTTACATACAAGTGGTACTACATGGAAAGTATCATGCTAAGCGAAATGAGTCAGAAAGAGAGGGACAGACATAGAAAGATTGCATTCATCTGGGGAACATCAGGAATTGCATTCATCTGGGGAACATCAGGAACTCAGGAATTACTCCTGGTGGTGCTCAGGGGACCATATGGGGTGCTGGGAATCAAACCCGGGTTGGCCGCGTGCAAAGCAAATGCCCTACCTGCTGTGCTATCACTCCAGCCTCCCCAATCAGGTTCTTAATATCAGCCCCAGGAGAAGCTCATCCAAGCACCTAGTGCATGGGACCCCTCATTCTCTCTCCCAAGCTACTAGTGATAAAACAGTCTTCTGAGAAATATTAATAGGGCTCTTGTGGGATGACAGGTTTGCCACTGACACCTCTGTACCCCCTCTGAGAGATTTACAGTGCATCTGAGCCCAATAAAGGCTTTGAAGTTCTAGAGTAAAGAAACTTGGTCAATTTTGTTCAAACTGGCAATTCCCTAGCTTGTGTGAGCATTCATCTCTTTATTCACAAAATGCCCATTCATAGCCTGAGGGCTTAGTGGTTAGGAAC